CTATTCTTAAACCTTACGTACGTACGCACATACATACCCAAACGCTTAATATTTGCAAAAATACCTAACACACACAAAAAAAAAAAAATTAATAAAATTTTAAATTTGCAAAAACTAAACAAGTTTTAAGTTTTCCCTTTCCCCTCCCCCTCCCCTCTTTCCCCTCACCCCCCTCTCTCGTATTTATTTATTTCGTAGGAATAACACAACGTGTTTTGTTTATTTGTTTATCAGTCCGATTCGCTGCGGTCAGTTGTGTGGTTGTGCTGTTGTTGTTGTTATTGTTTTCTAACGAAACGATAACAAATGAAATTAAATATATAATAATAATAATAATAATAATAATAATAATAATAATAATAATAATAATATTTTCAACTCCAGTGATATTAAAATGATAATGATAAATTTATCGTCGTGATATTACCTTAACCATTATTATTGTAATAATAATAATAATAATAATAATAACAAAACTTGAGTAATAAATAAATAACCTTGCATCGTACGTAAAGTTTTATTTTGCAAAAATAAAAAAAATAAAATAAAATAAAATAAAAATTTAAATCTTGACAACGAATTATTAAATAATACGACGACGACCGCGTATATAAAACATGTCAAAACTCAATTCAATAAATTTTTAACGTGTTAATAAAAAATTTAAATTTAAATTTAAATTTAAATTTAAAAAAAAAAATAATAATAATTTTTTTTAATAAGAATAAAACGTGAAATGTTTTCTCCCTCTCTCCCTTTCTCTCTCCTTCTCTCTCTCTCTCTCTTTTGTTACATTAATTCAAATCGAAATATTATGACTGACTTGGGTTGACCTTTCACGATTTTCAAGGCAAATAATTATTATTATTATTAATATTATTAACTATTTAAAAAAAAAAAAAAAAAAAAAAGACAGCCTTTTTTATGGATCAATTTTTTTTTGTTACTAATAGTCTCTCCAAAATGAAAGATAGATTTCAAAAAGTAATCATTACAAGACGTTTTATTATTATTATTATTTTTTTATAATAAATTTTATTTATCTTTAATATATGGTGGTTGTAATTTAATAAATTCTATGTATAAAAATCCCCTCAGGTAACGAGACAAAAATTATTAGAAAAAAAAAAAAAAACCAAATTACGAGAGAATTAAATTTAAAAACTCATTTTTTCCAGGGCAAATAAAAGGGAATTTTTAATAATAATAATAATAATAATAATAAAATTGTATATAATAAAATTGATAATGTAAAATATAATTAATGAAGTACAAGTTTAATTGTAAATGAGCACAGACACAAAAAAATAACCGATAGTTAATTTAATGTTTGGTGCCTGAGAATTAATTTTGCAGACTTGTTTTTTACACCTGTTCGGGATAATAAGAGAGAGAGAGAGAGAGAGAGAGAGAGAGAAAGAGAGACTCTTCTTCTCTTGCACGCCATCATTCGTTATTTTTTTTTTGCAATAGTTATATAGTAATTCAACCAAAAGAAATTCTAATCTAATTTAAAACGATTAAAAACATTTGGGGGGGAAAAAAAACAACACAACAATAAGTATATACGTATAAGGGAATAATGCCCCTAATGCCACGAACTCCTCCCTCCCCCTCCCCCCCAAAAAAAAAGCAACGTAATTTTTCGAACCCTAATTTACCAACTAAAAAAATTATTTATTTTTCATTTCCTGTATTCAAAATAATTATAATCGTAATTTAAAACGAAGGGATAATAATATTAATATTAATATTAATAATAAGAGTTCGGCGAAGAAAAAAAAAAACAATAAACCGTTTTAATTAAATAAAAAAAAACCTGAAAACAAACGTGACAACGTATTAATAAACGTCGTGGAAATTAACGGAAAAAATAAAAAAGTATTTAAATTTTATAACGGTTTTTCCGAAAAATTTACAAAAAAAAGGTTTTCATTACAATTTTCTTTCAGGTTTAAAAGAGAAAAGGTTAATAAACTCGTGTAAATAATACTAATAATAATAATCATTTAATATTGATAATGAAAAGATGATATTTCCAGTATCAGTTCCTTCACTTAATTAGAGCAATTCGACAATGAGGTTGTTTGTTACGGAACAAAATGTAAGATGATGATGATGATGATGATGATGATGATCGTGTGTAAGAACGAAAAGTGAAAGTCAAAGATAATTTATCTTAAAGAGAGAGAGAGATAGAGAGAGAGAAAAATTTAAACATTGATTTATATTATCATGTCCTACTATTTTAAATATATATATATATATATTTAACTTCCAGTTTTCAAATATTATTATTAAACTCAATTTTCATCGTGCGTGTGTGCGTGCGGTGGGTGCGTGCGCGTGCTTCTAATATTTTAATATAAAAAAAATTAAAAAATTTTCCTACGACTCCATATTGTAAAAGACACAAAGAAATTTTTATAAATGAGAAAAAAAACTTATAAGAGTGAATCGTTTTATGTTTTGTTTTTTTTTTTTTTCCTTCCAATTTTTATTTATTAAATATTATTATTGTTTGCATTTAATGTAAATATCCATAATTTTTTTTAAATAACAATGTCCTTCTTTTTCTTTTTTAAATATAAACTTGGCAGAGCGTTAAATTTCATTCTGTGAGAGAGAGAGAGAGAGAGAGAGAGAGAGAGATTCCACATTTCTTTCTTTCATTTTTTTATAAACTTTAAATTTATACAAAAAAAAAAAAAATTATTTATAAATATATAATATTTTATATATATATATATATATATATATATAATTACATAAATCCAACGTGTAATACTTTTGCCTCGCTAATATTTTCTTTCACTCAATGTTACGATAATGATAATGATTACGTTTATTTTTAGTTATTTTTTTAATCGTTGCATCGTCAACAGGTTCACATGTGGAAATCTCTATCGATTAAACTAAATTAATTATTATTATTATTTTTAAATTTGTGCATTCGTTTATTTATTTATCTATCTATCTATGAAATTTTTATCGTTCTGTTCGTGTTCGTGTTGGTTTTCAAATATTTAAAAATTGCAATCAAATTTAGAAAACCTACCAAACTAAAAATCATAAATCACAACAACGACAACAAACAACAACCAGATTTTTAAAAAAAAGTGGCTGTGAAAACAGTCTGAGAAAAGGATCAAAGTCGAAGAGGGAAGTTGCTGGTTCGTTAAAAATGAGCTAAGGGTTTCATGACTGGAGGGTGTTTTAACAAATTTCTTTTTTTTAAATGAATGACTTTTTGCTGTAAGAATGCATTGTGAACCCTGTTTTTTTAAAAATAAAATTTCAACCCTGAGAAATTTCCCTTTTTTCCTTTTTAAAATGATTTCTTTTTGTTATATAAAACTCGTAGAGAATTTCATTTTTGTATTTAAAAAGGTAAACGTTTTTTTTTTTTTTTTTTTTTTTTCCTTCAAAACTTAACTCAAGGTTGGTTTCTCTAGCTATGGCAAGCTGTTTAATAATAACAACACAAGCTTATCCCCCCAAGTTAGGGATGCACATAGCGTCGTTGTTCTTTAACAAACAAGGCCGAATACAATACCACATTGAGGTATTCAGTTTCTTGCCATTTTTTTTTTTCTTTTCTTTTACCTTTTTAAATTTCTTTCTTTCTATTTTATTTTATTTTTTTTTTGCAATTGTTGTAATACCTAAGCATAAAAAAAAAAAAAAAACACCTGTCGACATTTGAAAATATTTTTAACAAAACAATTTTAAAAATACTTTTAAAATATAATTTAAAAACAACAACAACAACAAAATTGTATGAAATAACACACACACACACACACACACACACACAATTTGTTTTTAAAACATTTTTTCTTTTTTTTTTCAAATTTGCAGTTAAAATCTACTATATATGCTTAAAATAAATAAATAAAAATATTAACACACAAAAAAAGTATAAGTTTTTAATTTTCATGTGATGATAATAATAATTTAAATAAAATTACAAACATATGCTCTCTCTCTCTCTCTCTCTCTTTTGTTCAGCCTGCTTTCTATTAAAAAAAAAATAATTGCCTGTAATTTTTTTTTTTTAAAATCAAGTGCCACCTGCTTGTATAACATGAAATTGATTTGGCTCAGTAAACGTGGATTTTAATTAGAAACAAAATCCTCTCTCCTATCTCTCTCTCACTTATTTCAAACCTTTTGCTTGTATTTTATGCTTTATGTAATAAAGGAATAATAAAACGCATTTACAAAAAAGGAAAAAAGGAAAAAATTTTCACAATTTGCTCCTTTTTTTACTTTAAAAAAAATTAATTTGAAATAAAAAAACTCCACAGTCAAACTGTTTTACAATCAATTTCTTTTTATCTCTTTTGATTTTTTTGTCCCCCTATTTCCCCTACACACACACACACACACACACACACACACACACACCCTCCCCCTTTCCACTCCTTACAAAGCACTCTAATATAATTAAAATTTTCCTTTTTTTACTTATTATCATTATTCGATATTTACAGACTATAGTAGTTACTACATACAAGTTTCTTTTTTTTTTAAAGCTTGAATTATTCCAATGTGGTAATTAATATAGAAAGTAGTGAAATCAATTCCCCTAATAAAAAATCAGTAATGAATTTATTAATTTTGCAAAGTTTAAAATATTTATTTATTATTAAATTTGTCAAACTCAAAATTACATAAAGGGGTTTAAACCGAAAACAAATCATTAGGCAAAATGAAAAGTAAACCTAAGCAACTGAACCCTGCAAATGTTATTTCCTTTACTTTTCAGAGGGTGATATAAAAAAAGGATGCTAATGTGGAAACCATTTCATGGGTACCTTACAAAATTTGCATTCATGTTCGATATTGTTTTTTTTGGGAACCATAACTGAATTAAAAATGTTGGCTTGGTTATAAACGATAAACCTCATCCTATGTATGCTCCTTCGAGTTATTAACCATGATCCTCTTAAACATATTTTAAGTAAAAAGAATATAAAATAATGATGAAAGCTTACCACACAACTCCAAAAGCTCCATAACCGATTGGTCTATCAGGTTGTACATCTTGGTTTGGTGTTGTTGGACTCTGGTGAGTATGTTGAGGATGGTAATAAGGCTGTGCCGCTGCCAGGATGGCGCCCTGATGTCCTGACGTTTGCAACAGCGACGACATTGACACACGTGAGTGCCTTGAGGGGCCCACTACCGCCATTAATAGATTTCTCTATATATGAATAAACTATTTTTTTTTCTGGGGTGCGATGCCCCAAATCTTTGTTAACCACTAAAATTTATGTGAAACATTTGTCAGTCGAAAATACTTGTAAAGAGAATTATTATTATTCAATAAAAAACTCGTTTCCTTCTTCTTAAAAAAATTAACGGATACACAGTGTCCTTTCCCATAAACCATGACTATATCCGGTGTTCACTCCTCATATATTTCGACAGACATCTTACCATTTTTATATAACAAAGCATACTTTTTTTCTCAAGCTTTTTTTTTTTTTTTTTTCCTTTTTAATTTCACTTTTTATAGATTTCTTATTCTTGTATATTTTTAATATATAAATATTTTTAATAAAATTCTACAAATATGTGTAATTATACATATATATACAAATAATACAAATAATGTGAGTGTGAAAAACGAAGCTTCGAATGTAAAACGAATAGGGGATGAATATTTTTTTTTTGAATATATTTCTTGTTTTGTACCTTTCAAAAATTGCTTAAAACTCAAAATCAAAATCAAAAACTACTAATAAACGTTTATTTTTTCTTTTCAATATATATATGTATATTAAAATAAAGTCGCACGAATATTAATAAATACGTAAAAGAAAACCAAAAAAAGAAAAAAAAACTTAAATTTTACTTAAAAAAAAAAAAAAATCAAAAAAAACTATAAACTAAAATCATCTAAAAACAAACCACATCATTTCTTTAACTAATACATCACATCAACATCTTCCCGAGCCAAAATGGCCACTAGCAAGAGAATGAGAAAAAAGAACAGCTGCAAAGTAGCTTCACAAAGGAAATCCTTTGCGCATGCGCTTATTTAAAAATTAACCAATAAAATTCAATAATAACCTTTCCTTTAAACTCTCAACTCTTATTATTATTATTATTATTATTATTATTATTATAATTCTTTGATAGAAAATTTTAATTAAAACAATATAAATTCTATAAATAAATAAAAAATAATAATATTATTAATATTTTTAAAACATTTACTTTTATTTTTATATAAATAAACAATCAATTATTTAAATAATAATTTTTATTCTTATTATTTTTCAAAAATAGTATATATATATATATATATATATATATATATATATATATATATATATATTTATTTCATTATCACAGACAAATTAGATCAATATATTATTATTATTATTATTATCATTATCAATGAAAATATTAAATCAAATCATTCAATAAATATTTTTCCTTTTTTCCTTTTTTTAATTTTACATAATATTATTAAATATTTATTCAATTATTATATTAAGCGTATGATTAAACTTTATATTGTTTCTCTGTTGAAGTACATGCATCATTGTCATGTTTTAAGGGATAGATAGGAGGGAGGGAAGGGGGGGGGAAAGAGAAAACCACCACCGATTGTGGTAATGAAACCAAACGTTTTCCTTTTTTTTTCCCCAATATTTTCCTTTGACTATGGACACAGCGAAACTTGAGTCTTAGATTGTATACACTAAAACACTTTAAACTGTATTTGGATTGGGGAAAACTATCGATCGGGACTTTTTTTTTTTTTTTTTTTTTTTTTCGAACTCATCGAGTCACCGGACTAAGATAATTCGAATCCGGTATTACTCGAAACTGCATATCTTAATTTTTCTCTCAGTGTACTTTTCTTTTGATAATTTGGCAACTTTAATAAATTGAAACACGTCGACGATGTGGGCAAACGATTTTGCGGTCCTTTTTTCCTTATAGTGAAAAAACCTCTTATGACGCTTCCGATCGTGTCACCCGTGTCCTCATCGTCGCCGACTTCGACGCAACGAATCGAAAATGGAGGCTCCAAATGAGCAAATCCCAAAAGCGGTGGTTTAGAACAACTTGTCACAAACTGTATCAAAAAAAAATTAATTAATATGCAATTATTTTCACTCCGCTCAATGATTATTATTATTATTTAAATAATACCTTTAAAAATAATCTTTTTTCTTCTTCGTTAAAATCCTTATCCAAAATATCCCAAAGCCATCCGACAACACGATGAGAATCGTGAAATCCTCCATAGTATTGAGTGTGTTTTCTAAGGTCTTTTAAATCTAAAGGCACGTTGTCACCGGAAATTAATCTTTGAAGCTAAACAAAAAAAAAAATTGAAATTTCTTTTATCAACTTTAAAAAAAAAAAAAAAAAGAAAAAGAAAAAAGAAATTATAAAACCTCCGGTGTTGAAAACAGTGATAACCATTCTGGATTTATCAAAGATCTAAATCCTCTTATAAAAGCAGCAGTTTGATCTTTGATTTGTGTGTGCATCCGGAAATGAGACATGAGATGAATATAATTAATTCTGCAAAATATTAATAATTAGAGTATGAATGTTTCATTTCATCATTTCAACAGTAAAAAAAATTACTCCCATTCATTCTTACTTGTTTTCATTCGTGACGGGAATAGCTTTTCCCCCGGGAACTAATTCGTGCGTTACTATTTTTCCAAGATAATCTTCGTCAACGGAAAATGTCAAATCCAGCTCTTGAACGTCTCCCTGATGATGCTTGATGAAAGTCAAAGAACGATACAGGTCTTGATCCAGTGAGGGAAGTTCATCTATTGAACTATATAATGCTTGATGCTGTTGACCTAAAATAAAAATATATTTACAAATAAATTAGATTTAAAAATGGTGTAAAAAAAAAACCGATGAATGACATCAATCACCTAATAATTGACTTAAAAAAAACGATGCGAATGGTACGTCGACAACTATCCCTTCGTACACGGCTTTTCCAAGCATTCGACCGACAAATTCAAATAATTGTAAATGATGATCTTGTAAATGGGATGTCGGAGAGGGATAAAGTCTTTCCTCGCTGGTAACTCGAAATAAATTAAGCGAAGGATTAAATACTCGCTTGATGGTTTCTTCTAAAAATTCTGAAACCGAAAAAAAAAAAAAAAAATCGTACTTCTTCGTAATAAACCACTCGCAAATGCACACAATTTATTTTACCTTTGAAAACGCCATCTTGATCGATTCCCGCTTCATCCAATCCTTGCTCATTGACAAATCTAACACGAATGACTCCTTTTAATGCTCGCGATGGAAGGAGTGCCAACTGACGGTATCCATCTTCCACAATTCTTTTTCGATGAACGGTTATAAGGGTTGAATGAGGTGAAGCGCAAGCAGATTCTGTCAGTCCGTAAACCGCTTTTTCATTCGAAATATATTTTCTGAAAAGTTGAACTCTTTCGAAATGCGGAATGATGTGAGGCATTTTTTGCAATAAAGCCTACGAAAAAAAATTTACAAACGTGAGTAAGAGACTTTAACGGTGTAGAAATCGAAATATGAAAATAAAAAACTCGCACTTGGGTGTTCTTTTTCCCTTTTTCTAAATCGCTAATAAAAGTGCAAACTTTAATGTCTTTTATCAACCAATGATTATCGGGTGTGTAGTTTCTTCTGCAATCACGACGATATAATACCAAAAGCAACGTGTGCATCGATTGAAATAACGGATTTAAATTTAAATTTTTGACATCTGTAACAAAAAATAAAAAAGGTATGTAATTAAAAATAATGTTTACTTCGTGTCAAAAATTATATCAAAACTAATAATAATAATAATAATAATGTCAGAATTTAGTAAAAGCATCATTTTCAATGAGTTGTTGTAATTATTTACTGAGCATTTTTTCTATTTAAAGCCTACCTTTAAGGTCCGCACTACTAGGTTTTTTTGAAAAGCAAAATTTTAAACGGGGATATTTTGAATATTTTGATATATCACCTATAAAAAAATCTCTTTAGTATAATTTTCTTAGTTTTTTTTTTTTTTTTTTTTTTCCTCTTCGGTTTTGGATAAATATTCAGAAAATAATTTATACCTTACCGAATAAATTTTGTAGGAGTGCTTTGTACAGGAAATTATTTAAAAAACTAGACATGGCGACGAAATCCGATAGACGAAAAGGTTTTTGCTGAGTGAACATTTCCAAATCGTCTAAAATTCTAAAAAAAAAAAAAAAAAAAAAAAATTTTAAAGAATTGTAGTAATTTCCAAGTATTTTATTTAGTAAACGTAATTCGTTTGAATTAAAAAAACTTTTCTTATTTACTCACATTACGTAATGAGTCATGCAATCGCAAAAGAGTTGAAGCATTAAAAAATGAGGAAACGTACAGTTCGGATTGATTGTTAAAAGTTCTAAAAATGCTTTCGATCCGTAATTCGAACCGAAAAGTCCAAAAAATCGCCACAAATTATAAAGTATTTGATCCTGATAACATAACCCTGAAATAAAATAATTGTTTTTTTTAACAATTACAAAGACAATCATTCGGAAAATTTTTACAAAAGTGAAAAGTATTTTGCATGTTACAATTCTTTGATTGTTTTTTAACGAGTCAATCAGAATAAGATGAGTCTAATTTTACCGGTTAAAATATCCAGTTTTAATTGAGTAAACGTTCTAAGTGCTGTTTGATAAAGAGCACACAAGTGAGCCATTTTGGAACATTCGTTGCCACCAAGTTTAATAAGGGCTTTTGTCGAACTGTTCCGTCCTCCCCTATTTTCCACAACTCTTTTCAAAATGTTTGTCGCTGTTCTGGGAGTGTTTGTGGGACTAATAGAATTATTCATTTCTAAATCGCTAAGAATTTTTTGAAGCGGAGATCCAAGCATTATTTTCACAATTGGATAACTCCATAATAAATGAAGCTGACTCTAAATAAAAAAAAAAAAAATTTATCAAAAATTAAAACAAATGTAAAATAAAATTAACTAAAAAGTAATAATTTACTCGTTTTTTGGTACCTTTACATGAGGTACAGCATCTTGAAGATTGGAATCGATATTCTGAGCAAACCAACCCAATATTGGATGCCAATGAGTTAAATTCGATTGTTTTGTGGCAACATACTGTTGGCAACTTTCCATAATTCTAGTTAAAATAAACTGAAAGAAAAAATTACATAAAATACAATAAATTATAAAAAAAATTTATTATTTTCTGCACATAAGTCACATAAGTAAAAATAACTTAACTTACAGTTACTTCTGGAAAGTAAAATTCATTTAATGTTGATTCCCTTTCAATGTAACATAAATGAATTATATTTCCAAGGAGGCAAAGTGCATAGTTTCCCTCCAAAGCATTAAATATTATTTTTGTATTTTGTTCATTATTTAATAGTTTTGTAGTCTTAACCAATATTTTATGTTTTTCTATCATACATAAACACTAATAAAAATTTTAAAAAATAATAATATTAAAAATTTCACATTTGAATTTTGAAACAAAATTACTTTGTATTTAAAAAAAAAAAAAAAAACTTATTTATTTACATCCGGTGCTAATTGATCAATATGAAGAATTAATCCGGGAATGCTTAAAATTTCTATCAGAAACATTGTCATCATTTTATTTGAAAAATCTGAATTTATTAAAGGTAAAGTTGATAAGGTCACTATTGCTGTCAAAGATACATTTTTTAAGGCTATTTTGTTCCTTCCAAGTCCTTTAAGAAGTAATATCTGAAAATAATAAATATTGTAACAAAATTTTTGGCTGAAATAAAGTATTAAACGAAAATTAAAAATTTAACCATGTAAACCTTAATATTTCATTAAGTTTTTTTTTTTTTTTTTAAATTTAAATTTTAAAATAGTTCTTATATCTTTTTTATGTAACTAAAAACTTATCAAAATTTTCACTCATAAAAGTAACTTTAAAATTAGAAAATTAAATTTTAAACTAGTGTGCTAACTTAAGTTACATAATTAATTTAATATTTAAAGATTATTTTTAAAAAAAACTATACCTTTAATGTTCTATATAATTTTTCTGTTACTAAAAAATCTACTATATTAGAACAGATTTTAATTAAACCAGGCTTCACCACATTAAATTTGTTATTGTTTAAAAATTGCCATGTTTTAATTCCTGTAAAGGCTACAAGGGTGTGTAAATAAATTAAAATTAATTTCGTATCTGATGGAATTTCCGGTCTTAGAGTTTCCAATATAGAGCAACATATTTTTAATATTTTTTTAATGTGGGTTATCCAATGAAGTGCTTTTTCTTTCACCAATATTAATCCAGAATAATTTAAATCTTTTGAAGATGATTCAAGACTTGAGACTATATATCTACATAAATTTTCAAATCTTGACAAATCCCTATCCGGATTCCAAACATATAAAAATTGTTGAGCAGCATTAAAAACCGTTAATGCAGGCTTTAATTGAAATTTGTCTTCCACTTCCTTTGGAAGAATATCATCAATTAATTTTCTGAAATTATTAAGGTAATGTTTATTTAATAAATCAACAAATGTATTATTTGTAAATAATGATTCATTTAAAAAAAACTTGTAGGCTAAAATTTCAGCTTACAAACTTTCGGTTGTAAATTTTTTTCGAAAGTGCCATCCTCTTATATGGGCTTGTAAAGAAATTATAAGATTTTCTCTTTTTTTCTCATTAGCTCTTTCCTCTCTAGCTGCTTTGGTTTGTTCCAAAAAACAGCCTTTTTGTGAATCCTCTTTAGAAAACATTCTATTATACAATCACTAACTTAAAGAAAATATATTTCGTCACTTATTTTTGTGACCGGTAATTTAAAAAAATTTGTTGATTCGATTGAAATATTGTACAAAAAAAAATTCATTGGAATAGGATAGATGCTTGCTCTACCAACCGACATAACATATTAAAAACTTTGTTGTAATCATTTACAAATAAATTAAAAGTAACATTAGTTAAATGTACAAATGAAAATTTAAAAAAAAAAAAATATTATTAAGGGTAAACAATTAATGTCTATAGTACTTTAAAGTTAATTTGAATATTTTATTAAGGCATTCATTTTGAAAAGACTTTAAAGCAGAAGATGGATAAATTATACCAAACCAATTCTGGCTCAATGTATTTTATCAGGGCCCTTTGTCATTAAATTATTTTCCGCCTAACAAATACTTAACGGTTTTTTTTTTTTTTTTATATGGTTAAAAAAACAATCGTCATTATATTCATTTTCAATGGATGAAGAATCTAAAATGATGGATCACGGATATTATAAACTTGAAATATGGAAAGCTGAAATTAAAACTAAAATGAGAAGTGCTTTAAGTGAACTTAATGTTATGCACAAAGATAAATTAGATACTTACGAACAGGATTTTCAAAACATGCGTTTGGCAATGCCAAGTAAAACTTTAAAAGCTCCCATTGATATTGTGAGTTGTACGCAATATATGTAATATATTTAATATATTTAATCGTTCTAAAATTATATATTTTAGTTTTTTATTGAATTTTTTTTTGTGTGAAATTTTAAAAACTGGTAAATTAAAAATTTTTAGACATTTTTTCAAGTTAAAAATAACCAACACTACAATTATAATTTTTAAAGTAAAACTTTTAATTTTCCATAATTCCTGCTATTTTAAATGCATTATTAATTTTTAATAATAATAACAATAAAAATATTAATGAATATTATTTGTTTATATTCAGGATAGTGACCATCTAAGAAATATTTTACTTGGTTTGAATCCTCCAGAAAATCAAGAAAATGCATCAAGTATTTTATCAACAATGTCTAAAAGAACTACCAGAAGAAGATCAAAATCTGCTAGTGCTTTCAAAACTGTTAGAAAAAGTCATAGATTGAGATCTACATCTGTTGATGCCTATAAAGTAGGTTTATTATTCACTTTTTCTTATAATTAGTAATTTTCACATGATTTCCAAAAAAAATTGTTTATTAATTAAAACTTTGTTAAAAGTAATTCATAATTTTGGTTGTGTTTAGACACCAAGAACAAGAGTTAGATTATCATCGATAATGTCCAATAAAAAGTATACAGTTTCAAAACCGACAAAACAAAATCAAATCGATAATGCCGGAGTAAATGTAAAAAGAATAATGAAGCCAGATGAAGTTGCCATTTCTACTTGTGGAAGTCCCTTATATGTTGCTCCCTGTTCCTTAGGTGCACCTCATGTAAACATACCATTACCAGGAGGGGTTGTAAGTGCTTTTTTATAATAAAAATTTTTATTGTTATATATTCATTATAAGTAAAAAAATTTAAATTCATTAATCATAATTTCAGGTATTAAATATTGAACCTAAAGAACCTAAAGAACCATTAGAAGTTCATGGATTGGATGCTAAAACGAAAAGTCAGTTGAAAATATTATGCGAACAGTTACAGAAACTTTATTAAACGTCTCTTTTTAAATACATTAAAATGATTTTGATCACTCGAATTCGCGACATGAATCAAATTCAGATTAACTGTAATTAATTTAATACTTTAAAATTTTTCATATTTTTCTTAATGAAAATTTAATTACTGTTATCGAAAGTAAATTTATATATATCGCCAGAATTTTTTCAACTTGATACAGTGCAATTACGAGTATGAAATTAAAAACTAATCGAGTAAATTTCTTCCTGCATTTTTTCTCAACATTTCTTTTATTATTTTATTGAAAATTTTTTTTTTATCCATTTACTTTTATTTAAAATATTATTATTATTATTATTAATTAATATTAGATAAAACTTTGAGAAGTTATATATTTTGTTCAATAATCATTATCATTAACAATCCTATCTTGGAAATTTTTTTTTTTTTTTTTCGCTTATGCATTATGTTACATAACAACATATCTTAATTCGTTTGAAAATTATACAACTTTGAAACTCGATTTCAATTTGTTAATATTACTTTGTA